ATGGATAATCCAAGTTGAAAAAGTGTGAGATGATGTGATGATGCATAATTTAGAAATGATGTATATAATTCATTATCAAAAGTGATTTCAACCAGGGATGCTAAACCTGATCGTTGTTGACTAGTTGATGAACGTTGTCGATCAAATGGTAATGATAATGAACATTCAATATTGTATCTTTCAAGTTGAGAATGCCAGAATTCAAGAGATAATGACATATCCATGATATGTTCATGAACAGAATAATCTATATAATTCAATGAGTTATCATCCATAGATAATGAGTCGTCGGTTTGATAAGCAAAAGAAAGATCACGAATGAAGATTGATGTTGATGCTCCATCAAAACAAGCATGATGAATATTAATCAATATGTAATCATTTTCAGTCAATAGATCACCATTCGCACATGAAATATTAGCTTGAGATTGATGATAATGACGAAGAATATGACAACGAATAACACGTCCTTCTGACAAATCAAATAAATCAGGCTGATTTAATATTTCTACAATAATTTCATTCATATGGCGATGATCATCGTTACGAAGATTAACGATTGTCAATCCATTTGATATGATTTCATCATTGAGAACAATCTTTGCATCTAAACAGCACTGTATAATATTGCTATTTGAATCAAGATAAAGTGCTGTTCGAAGAATATTATGTTTTGTGATCACACTTTGAAATGCATGATGTAATCGAGTGATTGATACATGATCATTCACAGATGATATACGATAAAGTAATGGAATAACATACATATTATTCATCGTTGTTTTGTTAGATGAAAAACGGATTTGTTCATCTAAGTAGATTCGTTCTTGTGCAAATGATGCTCTAGCTAAAATGAGACAAAACGATAAATATATTAATTTATGATAATCTCAAGTACAATTTGTTTTGTTTACCATGAGTGAGATGTAAGGAAGACCAAGAATAATCATCGAGAGTATGGATGATATTGATGGATTGCTGAATGAGTTGAGCATGATGAATAATTGTTGGATGTTGAAAAAGATTTGAAATAGAAAGAGCATTTGTTTCTAAATGAAACTCGATCTTGTACCGATGAAAGAGTTGCATGATAAGTAATGAATGACCACCTATAGTAAACATATTTGTATCAGTTGAGATTTGACTTTGTTTGAGTATTTCACACCAAATATGATGAATACTAATTTCAATATCATTTGTTGGTAGTAATAGCTCTATACTATTTGTGAGATGTATCGATGAGAAGTGAGGCAAAGGAAGAAGTTTCCGATCTATTTTTCCATTTGGATTCAAAGGTAATTTATCAAGTATAATGAATATGGATGGTATCATATGTGGTGGAAGATGAGATTGACAATGGTGACGTAGTTCTTCTTCATTCGTATGAAAAGAAGATTGAACATAAGC